AATGACCACCAACTGGGAGCTTTTTGGCACTATTGCGGCAACATGGGAAGATGCCATTGTTGACAACATTGACGAGGAATACGATCGACTGGTTCAGCACCTCCATGATTGTGCGAGGAACGCCAAGAGAGAGATAGTCAAAAAAAAAGCCTGTCTTCGAAAACTTTTGAGCTCATTCACCAATGTGGTTTTGCGCATACCTCAGGCAACCGCAAGCTAACGTCTGAGCTTGCAAAGCAGTGCAGAGATGCGATCAAGGAAGACCTCAAAGAGAGAAGAGCAGAAGTGCTGGTAGAAGTGGCAGAAGCCAGGAAAAGTATTTGTAACGCCCGCCTGTCCTTCGCCAACTATAAGACCAAGATGACTGCCCTCCGACATCCTGATGGATCTATCACATCGTCCAGAATGGCAATGGAGAAGATTATCCATGACTTCTACTCAAATCTCTTCAATAGCCATGTCCACTTGCCGACATACCAAATTCCACAGGATGGATATGTCGTTCCCAACGTTCTCCCTTCCGAAATCTGACACGCCATTTCATCAGTAAAGAAATAAACAGCACCCGGCCCAGACAAGGTCAGACCTGAACACCTGAAGAACCTGCCGACAGTACTCATCAATACACTGGCTCGGCTCTTCACACGCTACCTGTCTGAATGCAAGATTCCATCCCAATAGAAAACCAGCAGGACTGTACTACTGTTCAAGAAGGGAGACATCCATGAAATTGGCAACTATTGCCCAATCTGCCTATTGTCTATCATCTACAAGTTGTTCACTCGAATTATCCTAAATAGGATTTGCAGAACACTAGATGAAGGACAACCATGCGAGCAAGCCGGGTTCCGCAAAGGATTCAGCACCATCGACCAAATCCACACGATAACCAAGCTCATTGAGGTTTCTCAAGAGTTCAAGATGCCGCTCTGTCTAACGTTCATTGATTTAAAGAAGGCCTCTGATTCTGTTGAGACAGAAGCGGTCATTGAAGCCCTAGCCAATCAGGGCATTCAAGCCCAATACATCAGGATCCTCTGTGAGCTGTATTGTGGATTCAGTACCAGGATCTCACCATTCTACAAAGAAATAATCATTGACGTCAAGAGAGGGGTTCGTCAGGGTGATACCATTTCACCGAAACTCTTCAGTGCCACCCTCAAGAACATCATGCGATGACAGGAATGGGAAGGAATGGGAGTGAATATAGGCAACTACACCACCTCCGCTTTGCTGATGACATTGTTTTAACACCAAACATCAGCCAAGCGGCACAAATGCTGGACGACTTTGACCGTGAGTGTGGAAAGGTAGGACTACAGCTGAATCTTACGAAGACAATGTTTATGAGAAACAGCCTCGTTCCTGACACCCCATTCGCTCTCAACGGAACGACCATCTCCGAATGCAACAGCTATGTGTACCTAGGTCGAGAAGTCAACATGACTAATGACCTGGCACCTGAGCTGCGCAGGAGGAAGAGAGCAGCTTGGAACGCCTTCAAGAGCATCGAAGCTAAGAGGACGAAGAACCTCCGGCTCCGGCCACATCTCTTTGATTCCACTGTTCTTCCTGCATTAACATATGCCTCAGAGACCTGGGCCCTATGCAAACAGGATGAGAATGCTATTCAGGTCTCCCAAAGAGGAATTGAAAGAGCTATGCTTGGAATATCACGTTTCACTCAAATGAAAGAAAGAATCCGAAGTTCTGACATCCGTCGACGATCAAGAATCAGGGACGCTGTCTCGTTTGCCAAGGTGTCAAAAATCAGATCGGCTGGCCATGTAATGAGATTTAAAGACGACCACTGGACTGGAGCTGTTACGACTGGATTCCACGGGATGTCAAAAGACCACGTGGCCGCCCACCTACCAGATGGTCAGACTTCTTCATCAAGATCATGAACAATCGGTTTGAGGCCTTTCATGTTCCTAGAGTGAACAGACGCCATTGGGCTACACTAGCACGCGACAGGGACAAATGGAGACGGTACTGGCACCTACTCGAGCAAATCGACGATTAATGGGAAGTTAAGTTTTAAGTGAAGTTCTTATCTACTATAAATGTATAAAAAAATTAAAAAGCACAGAGACTGAATTACTTGTCAAGGGTGGTCATATATTCAGTAAGAGTAATATTAGAATTTGAATTTTAATTCAATCCAAATTTAAATAGAATCTGAATTCAGATGATCTATTTCCAGATGCCTTTTAACCAGTACATAACATTTTCTCTTAAAGTTAAGATTCAGTATACAGTAGAATTTATAGGTTTTAAGCTAAAAAAATCTTTCTGGTGGACATAAAGTAAGAAGTCTTTGGTAAACTTAAGGATTTCCCAACCTCACAATATTGATAGTTTTTGTCACATAATTATTTGTTGTGGGATTTACACAAATATGCTTAAGCACATCCTTGGTATGCACTAGATGCCAGGAACATTCTTTCCCTAGATATGGCAACCCCAAATATCTTTAAACAGTTCAATATCTCCCTGGGAACAAAATGGACCCTGGTTAAGAATTACCTTTTTAACAGTTGTTTCAGGGCTAGTGGGATATCTACAGCAAGTAAGGCATTCACACTGCTGACCCTGGTTCCATCTCTGGTACTAATGTGGTCGCCTGATCTCAGTCAGGAGTTTTCTTGAGCACAGAGCCAGGGATAACCCTGGCCAATATTGAGTGTGGCACAAAATCAAACCAAAAACAAAACCAAACCAATACCATAAAAGCTGATACAGTCATTCAAAGAAAAGTATGAAGTGAAAAGAGGCTAGGGGCAAGAAGTGAATCTTGTCAAACTTTAAGATATAATTGGTAGAACAGGAAGACTGATTAACCAAGGAGAGTGGTAAGAAATGACCAAACAGGAAGAAAGAGAACTGCAAGGAAATGAAAGAAAGAAAATTCTCCTAGAATAAATGTGAGGTTAAATGTCAAACCTTTGAGAGATTTTATAAGAGTTGATGTAAGATTTGACAAAGCCATGAAACAGATGAAGGTCATGGGTTAGTGTAGTATGAGCTAGCTAATTGATAGGCTAAACTTCAGTGTGGAGTGAACTGCAGAACATAGGATGTAAGGAAATTTACACAGCAAGGGCTAATAGTCTCTTTAAAGGAAAAAAGACACAGTAACTGATAGGGGTTGTATAATCATAGTATGCCTTTTAAAACTTAACACAGGAAACAGTTCAGAAAGTTTTAGTTGACGAATAGTTCTAGTTCTTCAAGTTAACATGAAAAAAAAAATGGATAATAGTGTGATGTTCCTAAGAAAATACAGGTAGAAAGATCAGCTCCAAGTCAAAGTAGAAACCTTCTCCTCCTTATAACAGAAAAAAATAGTCTATTATGATGTCTTTCTGCAGACACTTATGTTTAGCATCTGTAGAGAACTTAATGCCTTTCTCACAAAACTTTCAACTACTCCTAAATTGACAAATATTAGTAACATTGCTAGTCTCTTTATCTATCCTACAAAACCTCCTCTTGTTTCTATTTTTAATCCCATTTCCCAGAGCATTTATTAAATTTTATTGATTCTAATTTGAGTCAAAGATCTTCTTTAATTTCCGAATCTAAAAAGTGAGTATTTATTTTTATAACTAGCTCAAATGTCATCTCCTTACTGAAGTCTCTGTTTCTCACAGCCAAATAGATATTTCTATATTTCACAGCATTAGGACAAAAATAAAACAGAAGCAAAAATGAGAGCCCCATCACTCAAACAGAAAGTATATTCTTAGCAGTCTTTTTTGTTTGTAACAAAAGGTTAATAATAATTATAATAATAACCCCAGCGGTTCTCAGAGGTTATTCCTGACTTTGCCCAGAGAGATTTCTCCTGGCTAACTTGACCGTCCATAGATGGTGCTGGGGGGTCAACTCAGAACACATGTCAGTCATGTGCAAGGCAGGTATTCTACCCTTTATATGATCTCTCTGGCCCTCTTTGCTATTCTTAATAGGACTAACCTTTTTTCCTTTTTTCATTATCCAAAACAAGTGTTTTAAAGAATCACTCTGAAATCATCCGGTTTGCATTTACAAACTGGCTTAAATACAATGTATATAACACCATCACAATTGCCAGATAAGTCTGTATTAACCACATGCATCAAATCAGTCTTGTGGATTATCTAATGTTTTGAAAAACAAGAAATTTGAGGAAGAGGGTCATAAGACTTCCTTTACACTTTAGACCATTTTGCTGTTGTAGGCACATTATACCAGAACATATACAAAATAGTATCACCCCGGATAAGTCCAGTTCTTTGGACCATTACCTTCACAAAGAAATCATTTGATGGCAAAACAAAATGGTAGTCTGTATTTGGTTAGCATTCATATAAATTTGCTTGACTCAGAAGTCACAATATAAATTCCCAATCTAAATTTTGTTTTTGCACCACTTCGCGAATCTTAAAACTTTGTTCAGTCCACTTCGCCTTTGTCCAAATTTTGGAGATTTCTTATTTTTTTTCTCTACGGTTCAGGATCTGACCTTCCGTACTCTGGAACCATTTTCCAATACTTTCGCTTTTTTCGATTATCGTTGCACTCTTTGGGTGAAGTCTGAGTCTATCTGGTAAAATCTGTCTGGGCGTCAGAGAGAGCTTGATCCATTCCTATTCATGTTCCAGCTTCAGTCCACGCACGACGAAGCATCTTTCCCCACCACCTGGCTCACCTGGCCCTCGAGGCCCCGCCCTCCTCCTCCTCGCCTCCAGGAGCGCCAGCCCCCTCCTCACGCCCCGCCCAGCTGCCCGCCCAAGTCCCGCCCTCGTCCCGAGCCGTCTCCAGCCCCGCGCGCCCTGGCTCCGCCCCCTCCAGCTCCCCAACGTCCTCGGCGTCGGGCCCGAGCCTGCGCCTGCGCGTGCGCTCTGGCGCCGAAGTGAGGGCTCGCGGCGGCTGGCGAGCGGAGAGCGGCGGGCGGTGCAGCCAATGGGAGGCGGCGCTGGCTAGCGGCTGGGAGGCGGGGCCTGCGCGGGTGTTAGGTTAGCGCGAGGCGTGACCTAGTTGACAGGCTCGGCGGCGCGGCTGTGGCGGCTGCGGCGGGGCTCTGGCGGGTGGGAGCCGGAGCCGAAGGCGAGCGCGGGGAGCGGGAGGAGGGCGGCGTCTGGCGAGCGGCGAGCGGCGCGGGACGCGGAGCCTCTGTCACTTTTTCCCTCCCGAGTGCCCCCTCCCACCCTCCCACTCACACACACACCCTGTTTGCCCGTGAGCCTGGGGAACTTGCAGCTTAAAGCCAGCCACCCCCACGGCAACATGTACCCCAGCAACAAGAAGAAAAAGGTGTGGAGAGAGGAGAAAGGTAACCGGCCCGGCGAGTCCCGGGGGTCCCCGGGTGGGCTGGGTGGGGGCGGGGGTCAGGGCTGCTGCGCGCCGCGGAGCCCTGCGCCCGCGTCTCCCTCGCGCCGGCCCGGCCGGTGCCGCCTCCCTCGCGAGTCCGTGTGGACACACGCGCGCACGCCCGTGCACCGCGGCAGGCACGCGCCGCCCGGCCACGGGAGCCGCCGCACGTGTGGGCGCACGCCCCTCGGCCCGCGCCGCCGCCCACCCCGGCCCCGGGCGCCGCGCAACTTCTGGGGGCGCCCCGATCCGGGGCTGGCACTTGCTCGCCCGCCCGCCCGGGGTGTCCCGCCGCGGAGCCTCTCCGAGAACAACTCGCTGCGGGCTGCCCTCTCCACCCCCGCGAGCGGGGAGTTGGGGGGGGGAGCCCACCTAGGGGTCCACGCAGCCCCGGGACTTTGGGAACCCGAAACTCCCCGGGAAGAGCCCAAGGAGCGTCTCGTCCCGGAGGAGGTGGGATGCTCTTCTCTGTGAGGGCTCTCCCCGCGGTTCACCCTCAGGACCTGAAGTTGCCCCGAGTGCGATCGCCGGGAGACTGATGTCACTCGCAGTGAAAGAATCCACTCCTCTTTTTCTTTTCTTTTCTTTTTTTTTTTTTTGGAAATGCCTGTCGAGGCTTCTCCAGATCCGAAATCGAACGAACCCTGGCGCGGAGTCCTCCTGTGAGACACAGAAGTACCCCACTCTCTTTCCTTCTTTCCCCCTCCCAGCTCCCGCCCCCCCCAGTACAGATAATACTCTAAGAAAAATCTTGAGTCCCTGGAGGGTGTGCCCCACCTTTTGAAAATTCTTCATCCTTTTACAGAAGGGTAGTCCCAGAGGTCTAGAATTGCTCCTATGAAGATGAACATAAACCTCTTGGTACAGGGTGAGGTCCCGGTGGTGAGGGTGATGCAAATCAGTGTCCCAGCTTTGTGGAACGATGCAAGGGACAACTAGACTGGAAGTTGATTTCTAGGCTCTCTAAAACCTGTAGATTTTACTTGCAAGCCCTGGTTCTAATTGGACTTAACCGTGTGGACAGACAGAGGAAAGACTCCAGGGGGGGTAAGGGGATTCGCTCTAGAAGGCCTGTTTTAGACATTGTATTAGGAAAGGTGTAAGGGGAATGTTTTAAAATTAACTGCTTGGACAGCATATCTGAAGAAGCCACTTAAAATTGTCTTTAATATGTTAAAAGCTGAGGTTGTGGGACGTTTAATTATATTTTGATCATTATGAGTAAATATACATGTGTATATGTCGGAAATCTAAAAATTCCAGCTTCATGAAACAAATACCGTTTGGAGAAATAAACTCATGTATGAAGTAGTGTAAAATAAATTTTGAATTTGTAGAAATCACTTTAGTTTCAGCACATTTTCAGCAAGGATTTTTCCTTGTCAGCCTTAAGACATCTTTACCTTATTTTGGATGCTGTTGAAATGTGAGCTTTGTTTTGTTAGTAATAACGCAAAATAGTAGAAGCTGTGGACTCTTTTGGATATGTAAACAATTAAGTTATAGAAATTACTTTGTCATTAAAGATAATGTTTTTAAAGCAACAAATGTTACAATGTTTCCTTCATTTAACATTTTCACATTTGGGCAGTGATAAGCAGTCATTTTAGAATCTTTAATTATTTTCCTTTTCCTTCAAATGGGAAAAATACAAGACTATGAATATTACCTAAAGGAAGGAGCAGCTGCACAGAGAAGTTGTTTGGCAAAGTAAATTTCTCTTGTTCAAACCCAGTTTAATGTTAAAAATAAACATCATGAGTTGAAGACTTTAATGTATATCTCAGTGTTTTATCAGGAAATCTACTTTTGGAATATCTAAATAATATCCCATCAAGAAGAAACTAAGTCTTTTAGATAGTCCTTTTAAGGAAGCTGATGGGATGCATGATGCTTTTTACCTATTTTATGCTTTATGAAGAGGATAGTATATATTTTTGGAACTGTTACTGAAATCTAAAGAAATGCTTGCCAACCTGATTGAAATGTCAAGGCACTCTATAAGCACTTTAGCTAAGCACACCAGCTAAGAAGTGTGTCAGTGTGTCTCCCTATTTACAGGAAAGGGTCATTCCCAAAGTAAAGCATTCTTTAAGGAACTTTAAGGAAAAGTTTTCTGTAATGTGGAGAAAATTATATGTGTTTTTAGCTCTTAATGTGTTTCATTGTTTGAACAACTAGAGTGTTCTGTCCTTAGTTGTTGTAAGGTTAATAAGTGTTTTGAGCTAATGCTTTAAACCTTAGTTAAAAACCACTGACTATTACCTTTTCAAGAACTAAAACTTGAATTATATCTTTATTTTTTATTAAAAATTTTATTAAAGTCACTATAATTTATAGTTTTCATAGTTGGATTTTTAGACATACTGTGTTCCAGCACCAATCCCACCACCAGTGTCTTTCCTTTACCAGGGTTCAGGGTGTTTCCCACCCACACCTCAATCACCAGCCTGCCACTTTGACAGGCACATTTTTTTTAAAGCTGGATTTTTTTAAAGTGGATTTTTTGAAATTAATTTATTTAAAATTTATTACTTAAAATGTATTTTATATTTTTGGTTTACAATAGAATTAATTATATTATTAATATTTCTCATGGACATGATTTCAACATCATAGTTATTACTGGTGTACTGTCTTCCTCCCCAAAGGACCCCAACACCAATCCCTTTTACTCCTCCCTTCCGAACTCAGTTGTCTGGATCAGTTTTCCATTATGTTGCCTTTGGATCTTTGTTGCTAGCTTTCTGTGTTCTTTTAAGTCTCACATATGAGAGAGATAATTCTGTATATATCCTTTTCATTCTGACTTCACTCAACATGGTATCCTCTAGTTCCATTCATATTGCTGCAGTTGCATGACATATATATATTTATATATATATATTTGTATGACACATTTTTAAGTTTAGTTGTTGAAGTTTGGATCTCTTGTTTTCAGCGTCGTTGACTCTATGGTTTGGATATTTAGCTATACCAGTCCTTCACACCTTTTGGATCCCCTTGACCCCCTCCTTCCTATTGCTTCTTGCCCGCCTACTACTTGGCTATCATCTATTTTTTATTTTTATTTATTTTGCTTTTTGGATAATGCCCGGTGATACACCAGGGTTACTCCTGGCTCTGCACTCAGGAATTACCCTTGGCGGTGCTCAGGGGACCATATGGGATGCTGGGAATCGAACTCGGGTTGGCCACGTGCAAGGCAGACGCCCTACCTGTTGTGCTATTGCCCCGGCCCCTATCATCTGTCTTTTATTCTCTCCGTTTCTTCTTTTCTCTGTCCTTCTCCTCCTATACGTTGGAGCCAAGAGTGATCTAGGTATCCACTCTTTAAAACATTGCATTTCCTTGTCAAATTATTCTATATGCAATACATAAGTGATATCATCCTGTGTTTATCCTCCTTATGGTTTCATTTTACATGATGTCTTTCAGTTTCATCTATGTCACTGTGAATTGCATGATTTCATCATTCCTTACAGCTGCGTAGTGTTCAGTTCTGTATAAATACTACATCTTTATGATCCGCTTATCTATTGGACATGTAGGTTGATTCCATATCATAGCTATTGTACTAAGTGCTACAATGAATAATGGTTTGTGTATGTCTTTTTGAATGTAAGTTTTTGCTTCTTGTGCTATTTCTAAACTGTTTTCCATAAAGGTTGAACCAGGCAACATTCTTACCAGCAGTGGATGAGCTTCTTTTTCACTATACACCCCCCCAGCACAGATTGTTACCAATATTTTTGATATGTGCTATTCTCACTGTTGTATTGATTTATATTTCCATAATAATAAGTGATGATGGGCATATTTTCATATACCTTTTGGCCATTCATTTGTCTTCCTCAGATAAGTCCCTGTTCATTTCCACTTCCTATCTTTTTGATGGATTAAAAAAATTTTTTTTTATATTTGTGAGATCTTCAGATATCTTGATAACAACTTCTTTATCTGGTGTGTTGAATGCAAACTTTCCCTCTCATTCAGTTAGCTGTCCTTTAATTTTAGCGAGTGGGTTTCTTTCTCATGTAAAAACTAGTTTTAGATAGTCCCATTTATTTTGCATCTGTTGCCTTTGTTAGTGACATTGTATTATTGAAGATACTGACTGTGGATCCATTCTGCCAATATTTTCATCACTGTATTTCATAGATTCTGGTCAGTGAACCACTTTTAATTGATCTACTTTTAGTTTTTTATACGTTTTTATCCACTTTTCCCAGAACTATTTATTAAGTCTTTACATTTCATGCTCTTAGTTCCTTTGTCAAAAATGAGCTTATCATATATGTGGGGTGTTTTATTCTTACTGCCTTATTACTGATTTTTTAAAATAAATGTCCACACTTAAGTGAGGTATTTTGATCTATGTCCCTCTAACAAAAAGCTTTCAGATTGTTTCATATTATATTTCAAACTTTTTAAAATATCAAATGACACTCTAAATTTCTATATTATTTGAAACTTTTTAGTAGTACTTTGGTAGTTGCTAGACCTTTCTCTTTTCTTTCTGTGATTATTTGAAGTCTGTAGCACTGTTCTCCCGTTGTTCATCAATTTGTTTGAGCGGGCACAGTAATGTCTCCATTGTGAGACTTGTTGTTACTCATTTTGACATAACAAATATGCCACAGGGAGCTTGCCAGGCTCTGTTGTGCCGGCGGTATATTCTCAGTAGCTTGCTGGGCTCTACGAGAGGGATGAAGGAATCAAACCCGGTTTGGCTGTGTGCAAGGTAAACGCCCTACCCACGGTGCTGTCGCTCCAGCCCATTTGCCCATTTGAACTCTACTGTATCTTTTAAGCAGCCCATCATATCAAGATACTTTAGTCCTGTACTAAACAGATAACAGTGGCTTTTAATTTATGGAGAGAATGCATGTCATATAACATAGACAACCTTAACATTTTGCATTGTAGACTCACTTGTCTCTTTGTGGCCTTTGTACTTTAGCTTTGTCCTTTCTTTGAGGAAGCACTTTTCTTCTTTGTACCTAAGTTTAATTTTTCTGCCTAGCTCAGTCTCAGTTCTTGTGGTCTTGGAGACATTATGCTGTCATTTATTATCTTTTTTGTATATTTAGTTTTTCAGTGCCTGAAGGTCTTTACATTGGAGATACTTTTCTTGCCTTCCTTCAGATCTTATTTATATTCTAAATGCAATGAAGGTTCTTAGTAAAAAAAGATGATAGTGCTAACAAATATTTTTTAAGTTTTGTTTGTGTGCTCAGCAGTATTATAATTACATGGTTATAATGGTTTATATTTAATTCTCAAAATATAATGGGGTTTTAGTAGAGTCAAGAACTGTTAATACTGAGTTTGAATTCTAGTTTTGCTGCTTATTAGCTGTGGAAACTTAGGTGAATTATTCAATCTGTTTGTCTTAGTTGTCTTACCTGTTAATTGGGAATAATACCTACAAGCCTATTTCAAAAAGAAATTTAGACTATAGCTTTGTCTAGCACATTCCTAGTCTGGGTTCCATTTGAGAACCCTGTATGGTACTCTGAGATCCTCCAAGAGTAATCCCTAAGCACAGTGTGGCCCCCAAATCAAACAAAACCCCAACCAAACAACAACAACAAAAACCCTATACCAAAAATCCACCAAAACAAAAAATTTCTGAAGAGATTTCTAATCCAAGATTACATAGATTTGCATGATGTGGAATTGGAATCAAGGTACCTGTCTGTGCTAACTGTTCTGTTCACTTCTTGTTTTGTAATGTGGATTAAGATAAAACAGTTATAGGTCAGGGAAAAATATTTGTTTCCCATGTCTTGGTCACTTGTGTTTAGGTTGAAACTTTCAGAAATTTATTTCTGAGAATCTTTTAAGATGGTTAATTTAGGATAGTTAGATCACCCCAAACTAGATATGACTTTAATCAATTAATCTAAAGTACAGTACTGTATAACCTGTTGAAATAGAATTGGATAATGATATGGTGACTATCAGTCTCTACATTGGGGAGACATTTGGAAAGTATATAGTACATGAGAATTGAAATAGAATGTGAGGATGTCAGAATCAGAATCAGTGGAGGATTTAATTTCTTTAATTCTTTAAGTTAAGTATAATTTCTTACCTTTTTCCCCCCTGTATTCTATTTTTTTAAAATTTTATTTATTTATTTATTTTTTAATAATTTATTTCTTTATTGAATCACTGTGGGAAAAGTTACAGAGCTTTTGGGTTTAGGTCTGTCATGTAAGTATCAAACACATTTCCCTTTACCAATACTTATTTTTAACCGTGAACCCCAATAGAACCCCACCTCCCACCCCTCCCAATTCCTGTGTGGCAGATGAGTTCTAGTTAATACTCTATCTACTTTGACTAGATACATTGTTTCGATAGAAGATGCACAATTATTGTTTAGAGTTTATGACCCCCCTCCCCCAATCAGATATGCTGAAACAGCGTTGTGAAATGATTTGCTTTCTACAGCTTGGTTTAAGAATAAAATGATGTCTGTTTTGGATTTCTGCTGTTTTACTTATTAACCCTGGAAGTATTTCTATTAAAAGTTAGATAGTTACGAGATTGGTTTCTGTGCTCTGGAGTCGTGGCCGTGCTGGAGAGCCGCTCGTGGGGGGCAGCTGGTGACCTCCGTCGGGCGTGAAGGACGGCCCAGAATGCCCCCCTTCCCATGAGGCCCCTGCCGCCCCCCGCCCCCGGCTCAAACATGCTGTCCACAAGGCTCCTGTGCGGCCGCCATCTTTCTTTGCAGAGAGGAGCGGGCGAGCGGGACAACACCCTTTCCCCTCCGGGCAGGCATGGTGGCGGTTTAACACATAGTCCATTTGCTTTTCTGCTCCAAGCGGGTGGCTCTCTGTCCCCTGTATTCTAGTGGAGTGGTCTTCAGTTTCCAGTGTAAGTGCTCAGGTGTAGAAAGGTTGAATGCCTCTGGTTTATCATCTTGAATTTAATTACCTATTTGTGGACCAATATATATGACAGGTGCTGGTCTGCAAGTATAGAAAGGTTAAAGAACTACTATTCTGATGGATGATGATGATGATTTGGGCAAGGCACACCTGGTGATATTCAGGCTTATTCCTGACTCTGGACTCAGAGATCACTCCTGGTTGGACTTCGGAGACCATATGTAGCTGGGCCAACCCCAGTACTACATATGCAAAGGAAGGGTCCTACCTACTGAAATATCTGACCTATCTCATGGGTTATTTGCATGCCTTGACTACATGCAAGGCAAGTACTTTAATACCTGTGCTGTCTCTTTGCCTTGACTAGGTTTTAATGGAATATGCTCCTGCTTTGAAAGGACTGTTAGACTTCATGTGTTTCATTTTTAAATGAAAATCAAAGATAATGATATCAGTTATTTAGTTATTGGGAAGGTTGTTTTAGTGATGTTTTATCTGTGAAATACTTGCTATGCATGAAGTGTACATAAATGATGACCATTATTCTAATGTGGATTAGCTTTTAAAAGTGAATTAAAATTTTTTTTCTGTTTTGAGGATGCTTAGGAGTAACACCTGGTGATGCTCAGGGGTGATGTTAGGGGTGATGTTCAGGGAACCATATAGGATGCTGGGGGTCAAACCTGAGTTGCTCTCTTACATAGCAAGTGCCCTACCCACTCTACTATTGCTCTGGCCCCTCTAAGATGGATTTTAAAATATTTTAATCTTGGGGCCAAGCAGATAGCTCAAAGGGCTGGAGCTTGTGCTTTGCATGCAGGAACCTTCTGTTTGATTCCTGCACCACATGATTCCCTGAGCACTTCAAGAGATAGCCCCCAAAAGCACAAAAAAAATTGTTAAAAACATTATAGATTTTCATAATCAAAAGAAGTACTTAAACATATTGTTAAAAATAAAACAAATAGTATTAATTGATATCACATCTTATATATAAATATATAGAATATAAAAGTATGGAAGTGTACTTTATCACTAATGACTGTAAATTTAGTATCTTGAGGACTGCCATTCTTGTGCTCTTAGTACTTATACCTTAAAAAAGTTTTTTTATTTTACTTAGAAATTATTATTTACTTTTAGGATTTTATTCTGTTGCTGTTGAGGGCCACAGCTGGTCATGTTTAGAGTTTGTTCCTGGCTTTGTGTTCAGGAATCATTCCTAGTGGTGCTTGGGGGACCGTATGCTGTGCTGGGGATTGAAATGGGTTTGGCTTGTGTGTAAGGCAAGTGCCTTACCCTCTGGACTCTCTGTCCAAGGAATTTTGTGTCTTGCCCATTTCTTCATTTATCAGTAACAAATTTTCTCTGTTAGACTTTGCTTTTGTTTTCTTCTAATATGTAATTAATTGACATTTATCACTTAAATATGGAGGGATTAGATGTAAATTTTGTTTTGGCTCAAGCCCACACCAATTCTTTCGTTAAAGATGTTTAAGATTTAAATTATAAAATAATTTCTAAATTTAAATTTTAAATACAAATGGGAACTCTGCTTTTATTTTACAAAGAACGTTTACTGAAGATGACCTTAGAGGAGAGACGCAAAGAATATACAAGGGATTATGTTCCCCTGAACACCATTCTAACATGGAAGGAGGAGATGAAGGGCAAGAGCCAAAATGATGGTAAGTTTTTAAAAACATTTTCCAGGTACTATTCTAATTTATGACTTCTGTAGCACAATTTTTATAGATAACTCATTCAATTAAAAGAGGACATTATTGTATTTGAAATGTTTGTTCAGGTGCCATTTAATTGTTTTTAGTGATCTATTATATTATTTTTAAACTTAATAATTTGCATTAGCATAAAATATTCCACATTATATAATTTTAAAATATGATTCTTTTTATACAGTCACTTAAAAATACTCTTGTTAAAATTGCATAATTTAGCAATTTTCTTCTTTTGTGTTATCTTTAGAGTTTATTTGATTTCATTTATTTACATCAGCTTTCCTCGTTATTTTAATTGAAAATAGTTTATATGTAAGGTAAAGGTAAAGGTAAAGGCCCTCCCGTTGATCGTCGATTTGCTCGAGCGGGCCCAGTAACGTCTCCATTGGAGACTTTGTTGTTACTGTGTTTGGCATATCGAATACTCTCGGTAGCTTGCCAGGCTCTCTGAGAGGGGCGGAGGAATCGAACTCGGGTCGGCCATGTTGGCCACGTGTAAGGCGAACGCCCTACCCGCTGTGCTGAAAAGAAATCCTCACTTAAGATAATGTTAGTTGAAAGGCTTGTGCTTTGTATTGTGTGGTTTATATTTTTATGTACTTATTTGATGAAATTTACTCTCAAAGTCTTTGTAGTATAGATTGAGGGAAAGTATATCTGTTAGAATATAAGTGAAATTGTAAATATTAAAAAGGTGCAATGGAAAAATTCTGAAACAGTTTTATTGGCAACATGTATTCTCTTCTAATCTCCGAATAAGCACTTATTATTGTACGCCACAATAGTCTGGATGTGAAGTTAGAGGAAAATGATACCTTCAAGGGTATTTAATAGCTGAGGAAGAAGGGTAATTTTGAAAAAATGATAATGGAACTTCTGATTTCATTGGTGAAGCCTTAGATTGGTGATTAAACTATACTGACTATTATGGGCTTAAAATGAGAAGGTTAATGTGAATTTTAAAGGACAGAATCTGTGGGAAGGGTCAATAAGATTAAACTTTGGGGTCTAAAGAGAAAATATTTACCTAAGGGTGAGAATTTAGACCCTCCCCACCCCCGTTAAGGCAAAACATGCAGAATTAGGAGTGAAAATATTTAAATTCTTTTAGACCTTATTCTTTATTCTTTCTGGAATATGTGAACTTGAGTAATTGAGATAGTGATTCTACAGCAAGTTCTAATGAGGTTATTGTACATACTGATTGAGATGTATATATCTGACATGCTTGTCTAGTGTCTTTAGTAGATGCAAGTTGTTAGTCTAATTAAAATGTCATTGAAAGAGATGATAGAAGGTTGTGCTTTGCAATGAAAACCAAAACGTGATGTTCTTTCAGAACAAGTTTTCTTTCTGAGATTGAGGTAGATTTCTGCTGCCAATACAATTCCCAAAGCAGTAGTGACACCTAGGGTACATTGCCCAGTGTTTAGTGTCCTCATTTCTGCTCACTTTTGATGGCTGCTTCTATTTGAAGACTTTAGCAGTGTAAGACTGAGTCATTAGAAAACTCAGATGTTTCTAGAGACAATCACACACCAAAATATGGCACTCAAGTTATAGAGGGTGCAGTGAACAACACCTGGCATTATTATTTCCTAATAATGTCCTACATAGTTAATCTTTCATCCCGAAATTAGCTTTATATGTGCTTTACAATTGCTCAGTGTATTTTATTTTCCTTCACGCTTTTTTTACAACATGATATTCCATGGGGAAGTTGTAATGTGATCAAAGGTGTATTTCTATAAAAGTGTTTAATTCGTTTGATTTAATTTTACTTACTTTGTTATGATGTAGAAGGTAGTAACCAGTCTTTTCTTTCTCTAGAAACTAATTCGTCCTATAAATAATGCCTATAAATTTCATCATTTAATCTATTTCATATGTATTTTCTTCCAGTGTTACCTAATTCACTTCTCAGTTACATCAAAATAATAATTGAGTTTCAGTGTTTTAACCAACTGAAATAGTCTTTACAGATATAAAGAAATGGTAAAGGACAACTGTAAAGATATTTATATTTCTGTGTTTAAGTTTGAAATATTTAAGCTACTGCTGATTGTTATATGTGTATACAAATAGGTATTGATATCTACATTTTGTTGGAGGGTTGTCTTCAAAGTGGTGCTAAGGGAGCCTAGGACCATTCCTGGCAATTTGGGGCTTCACTTGGGTTGGGGTGGTTCACTGAGAGGACCTGAGGCTACAATGCTGCTCAGGCTCTGAGGTTTGAGTGCCTAAGATTACCAGAGCCACCACTTGCAGTGCCTGGGGGCTTCAGGGCAACATCCAGTGATGCTGGGGCCTCCAGGGCTTTACCAACCAATGCCTCATACATGGAAGGCATGAACATTAACCCCTAAACTGTCCCTATAGCAGCAGTAGTTTAAAATTTTAGAAATACTTTTCGAATAAGTTTTCATAGAAGTAGAAGTCTAATTTTGTCACAGTGTTTCAAATTTTTAAGGAAAAGAGCAGTATTTTTTGTGTTAGCACAATAGACTTAATTTAAAATTTATTAGTTTATCATTATTATTAGGGCTGGAGCGATAGCACAGCTGGTAGGGCATTTACCTTGCACGAGGCTGACCCAAGTTTGATTCCTCCATCCCTCTCGGAGAGCCCGGTAAGCTACTGAGAGTATCCTGCCCGCACAGCAGAGCCTGGCAAGCTCCTCGTGGTGTATTCGATATGCCAAAATCAATAACATCAAGTCTCACAATGGAGATGTTACTGGTGCCCTCTCGAACAAATCAGTGAACAACGAGAGGACCAGTGCTACAGTGCTATCATTATTATGTGTATCTTTAGAGAAGGCCATTTTGGTCTTGATGTTTATGCTTATATTCTTGGTGTTCTTGATTCTTGATATTCTTCATGTGGGACATCCTCAGGCTTCAGTTTTTCAATTTGCTTCTTTGCTAATTTACTCTCACAAATATTGAATGTTTGTTATTTTAATGTAGGAGAAAGTTAAAGAGGAAAAAGAGTGGCTGAATGTTTACAGTTTTTATTTTAAGGAGTTCTAACAAAATAAAAAATTGCTTAACAATATAAATTCTTTGTGCAGTAAAGAGATTACTTATAGCTAATTTTTACTTTGATTTGGTAACATTGGAAAAACTTAGGAATCAGAAGAAGAAAGAATGGGAGATGTACCCAACCCTTTTCCCCCAACCCACTTGCTTGCCTGTTGTTTATATTTGTCAACTATTAGTAAATCTCAAGAATTGCACACTATTTACTTTTTTTTCTCCCAGTATTAGCAATTGCATAATAATTGTGTTTCATTTGTGACTTGTTTGCAATGTTTAAGGAAATGTTTGTCTTTCTGTTAGACTTGTCTCTAGCACCTGGCTACTTTTGTGCAGGTGGGCTCAATAGTAGGTATGTTAAATAAAAAATGCCTCAAAGGTGAATAGTCTACAAAGAACAATTCTTTCTTTCCTTTTCAGATTTTGAAATGAGTATTTGAAAAGATACAAAAAATTGAGTACTTTAGTGAATCTTCGTGCACCTGTCAACCACTTTTAATACATCATATACCACTTTATTTGTACCTGTGTTCCCTGTAGCTTTCCCATAGGTTTTTATTGACTTAATTCTTGTACATTGTGTCATTTTTGTCTATAAATGTGTATAAATACAGAGAATGTGAAAGGCGATGGACATATTTTGAAAGCATACCCACTAGTACTCTCTGCAACACTTTGTAATATTGTAAACTTGTAAATAAAAATTTAAAGAAATGAATATTTATAATCTTTATAATTAAGTATCCAGTTAGACTTAATGTTTTTCCCATTGTCTCATAAGGATTTGCTTTTTTGCATTGTTGTTTACTTGCATCAGAATTTGAGGTCCATTTACTGTGTTAAATTGGTATGTTTCTTCAATCTCTTTTGTTTGTAGTTATTTTTTTGTTCTTCTGCCTTCCCTTCTTGTAATATAGTTGATGAATAAATAAGATTACTTTAGGTTGTTTGTCTTATGGGATTTTTTTCACATTATGGATTTTTCAGAATGTATCTTTTTTCAGAATGTATGCAAAATCCTCTGTCCCCTCTGCCTTCCTCTGTGGGCTAGAGTGATAGCACAGCTGGCAGGGCATTTATCTTGCACATGACCAACCTCGGTTCGATTCCTCCATCCCTCTTGGAGAGCCCGGCAAGCTACCAAGAGTATCTCGTCTGCATGGAAGAGTCTGGCAAGCTTCCCGTGGTGTATTCGATATGCCAAAAACAGTAACAAGTCTCACAATGGAGACATTACTGGTGCCCGCTTGAGCAAATCGATGAACAAGGAGAGTACAGTACTACAGTGCTTTCCTCTGTATAGATAGTTAAATTCAGAGACCTGATCAGACTTGTTTTTTTTTTTAAGCCTGCTTTCAAAAATTTTTTTTGAAATAATTTCTGAAAAGAATGCTTTAGAGTTACTGTGCATCTTTTTGTATAAAGTTGCAAGATAATGTCTTTTTTAATTTTCTGTGGTGGTAAAATTGATTATTGGAAGTAGATTTAAGTATAGTCAACCTGATCAATTCATTGTAAAGCTTCTTAATCAGATTTTCATCAACCATTGATGATTGTTGCTTAGATACATTATTTTATTAGAAGTTGCACAATAGCATTTTAATTTCAATTACTCATTCAGTTTATATGAAGAATTTTGTCTTACCATTTTTTCATTTTTAATGTATTTGTATAGATAAGGTGGAATAAATGCTAAATTTACTCTTATTTACCACTCTCAGGTTGAATTAGTTCCCTGAAATTTACTATACGTAATGAAAGGGTTCTTTTAAACTTATTTTTTTTGTTTTATTTTTGGGCCACTCCTGGAGCTCTGGGGCTACTCCTAGTGTTTTTTCCAGTGGTCGACCTGGTGGTGCTCTGGTACCATGAAATGCCAGTGATTAAACCTGGAGCTCCTACGTGCAAAGC